CCCCCCTACCCCCGCCAGTGGTTAAGTCCTACACCTGCTACACCTCACCTTCACCAGCCTCTCTTACATCCAGTCCTTCGGGTTCCTCATCTTCCAGTGGGGTGGAGCTACTGGTGGCCGAGTCCTCCCCAGACCCAGCACAGCGAGCAGCCCAGCCCATCTGGTCTAGCCGAAGCCTCAGGTCCTCCAGGGAACACTGGGCCTGAGGGGGGTCCCCACGGCGTCCAGGCTCAGGGGACTGGCTCAGGCTGGGGATACTCTCCAAGCTGTCCCCCAGGTTGGGCTGTGGGGGCAGGTCTCTTGGTTCGGATACTGAGCGACCCTGGGGCCGAGGGCGCCGGGCAACAGAGTCCCTACGTCCCCCACTGCCCACGACACCGTCAAAAGCAATGTAGGAGAAGGTCAGCTCCCGGGGGGTGCCCCAATCCTGTGATGTGGTCTCCTCCTCGTCCTCTGAGAATTCCCGGGCTGTGTGGAGCTCCCGAAAATCCGAATCATCATTCCCTCCTTCAGTGAGGGAAGAAAGGTCATGAACTTCTCTGGGCAAGAACCCTGACTTGTCCAACCAGGAGCAATCCTTCAAGCCCAGCCCTCACACACCCTCCTCCTGCTCACCTTCTGCAGAATCAGGGGTAGAAGATGCTGTAGATGGAGCTTCTTCTGTGAAAGGAAAAGAAGAAAGTCTGGAGTGTTGCAGTCACAGAAATGGGCTGGTCCTGCCAGCCTTAGATGGTCCAAATTGAAGGTTCTTAGGAGATCTGATGCATAGGACCTTAAAAAAGTTCTGTTTATAATCTGAGAGTCTTTAGGGATCCTGGGCAGTTTCTATTCATTCATTCCTTTGACATGCATTTATTGAACATGTACTATGGCAGGTACTGTTCTTTGTCATTCTTTCTTTTTGTCGGTCATGGGGCTTGAACTCTGGGCCTGGGAACTGTCCCTCAGCTCTTCAGCTCAAGGCTAGTGCTTTACCACTTGAGCCACAGCGCCACTTCCGGCTTTTTTTCTTTTTGCTTATGTGGTGCTGAGGAATCGAACCCAGGGCCTCAGGCATGCAAGGCAAGCGCTCTACCACTGAGCCAACTTTCCAGCGCACTTCTGGTTTTTTCTGCTTATGTGGTGGTGAGGAATCAAACCCAGGGCCTCGTGCATGCAAGGCAAGCGCTCTACCACTGATCCAACCGCCCCAGTCCCTATGGCAGGTACTGTTCTCAGGGATATAACCATGAACCTAACAAGGAAAAAAAAAAATCCTTGACCTCACTGAATTCAACCCTGAGGAAGGAAGAGACAGAAAACCCACAAGTGAACCTATAACTTTGACACAAGTTTGAAGAGGATCAAATAGCAAGGTAAGGCCTGCTCTCTAAGTCCTGGGTGATTCCTGTAAGCTCATCTGCTCAGGAGGCTGAGATCTGAAAATCCTTGGTTCAAAGCTAGCTTGAATAGAAACGTTAGAGATTCTTACCTCCAATTAATGAGTAAAATAACAACAACAACAACAAACTCTTAAGTGGAGGTGTGGCTCAAATGGTAGAGCATCAAACCTGAGTAAAAAAGCTTAGAAAGTTCGAGGCCCTGAGTTTTTAAGTACTAGTATTGGCATACAAACAAAATAACATGTGGAAATCACAAATTCTTAGAATTTGGGCGTCTAGGCACTGAAGACATGCAAATGGGACCTGGTGGGACAGAGGATGACAAACACGCATAGCTCAGGGCTCCTGGCATCAGAGGTCCACGGACCTTTCCCACGGAGACTCCAACCCTCCAAGCTAGCCTGGGGCTCTGCACACCATTAAGAGATTGAAACTGATCTCCCAGCCCCCACCTTCCCTCATCTGGGAAACCAGAGGCCTGAAGCATAGTGGGCCCGCCCTCCCTAGGGTTACCACTAATGAGTGGAAAAGGCCGCTGACGACCCGGGAGTCCTGGCGCCAGCCCAAGGAGGGCTGTTTTCTGGGGACGGGGTGTTGGACAATCGGGGTGAGATTAGGGTTCCCTCTCGGGCAGAAGTCAAGGGTGATGGGCATGCAGATCCCGGTTTTCCCTCCCGGCTTCCTTCTACCCTCCACCCGGCCAGCTGCGGCCAGCACCAGGGTCCGGGGACAGCTCCCTGCGCGCCGCCACCTTCCCAGGCCCGGCCGGGCGCCACGTCCCAGCGCCCGGCGCGCCCCCCGCCCGCCAGCGATCTCCGTGCCCCCACCTCCGCCGGGTTTCACTCGGGTCCTCGGGGTCAGGCTGCCCCCCACTGCCGCCACAGCGCGGGGGGAGGGGAGGACTTCCTTTGTCTCTTTCGCCTCCTCTCCCCACGGCGGCTCTCCTGCGGCCCAGCGCAGTTGGAGACCCCAAAGGGGACCCCGCTCGGGCCTCAGGGCCCCACACTGGGCCCAAGCCGCTCTCTACTCACTGCAATGGGCGAAGACCGGCAGGACCTGCCCCATGGCCCCCCTCGGGCCTGCATCAGGACCCCCGCCCGCTCCGGCCACGCCGCCCTGGGCCTGGGGCTGCGGGTGCTCATCTCCGCCGCGCCCACGATGCCGCCGCCATCCCTGCCGCCTCTGCCTCCACGGCTGCTTCAGCAGCCGCCGTCGCCGTCGCCGCTGTCTGCACGGCTCCGCGCGGGCGGGCGGGGCCCCGGTGGAGAAGGCACTGCAGTGAGGCGGGGGCGGGGCCAGGGGAGGGCGGGGCCAGGCCTAGAGGCGGGGCCGCGGTGGGGAAGGCACTGCAGTGAGGCCTGGGAGGGGGGGGTTGAGGGCACGCCCAGAGGCGGGGCCGCGGTGGGGAAGGCACTGCAGGGAGACCGGGGGCGGAGCCAGGGCGGGGCCTCGGAGGAGAAGGCACTGCAGCGTGATCCAAGGGCGTGGCCAGTCCTAGGGGCGGGGCCAGAGTGAGGAAAGCATTGTAGTGTTGCCGAGGGCGTGGCCATGACCCAGGAGCCAGGCCTGTGGGAGGACCCAAGCTTGTGGGCGGAGTCTTGGCACTGTAACTGGCTGGGAGTGTAGCTCAGGCCGGGTGGGGGGAGGTCCATTCATAAAGCAGGAGGGTGAGGGGGTGGAAAAACACCTGGGAGCAAGGGAAGGGAGTGGTTTGTTGCTTGAGGATTGGGGTTAGGTTCTAGGACTGTGGGGATCCAATGGAGTGGACAAACCCCTAAAGGGTGAGGCCTGCCCCAAAGGGGAGCAATTTTTAGAGCCAAGGGTATGGTGTTTGGGATAGGGTGGAGGGGCTGTAGAATTAAGGCTGTGGGTATCATGGTGAGTTGGGGCAGATTTAGGGTGGTCTTGTGGTGGGCGGGGCTGGGCGGTAGGGTCCAGGCCTAGATTAGCCACCAGAATGGAAAGGAAAAGTACAGTGTTAGGAAAGATTTTCTTTTTCTGGGGCTGGGAAGGTGGCTCAGTGGTAGAGTGTTTGCCTTGCATGCATGAGGCCCTGGGTTTGATTCCTCAGCACCACATAAGCAAAAAGAAAAAAGCCG